TTCAACAGCGAAGACATTTTTTAAATGGCCTTCTGAACTATTGGTTATCTGCCAGCTGGAAAGTACCTATTATATTATGATGGTTTCAATTTGATCAACTAAGCTAAATTGGTTCCAAATCAGGCTGATCAATATTCCAAAAATTGAGCTAATTTGATGGCGAACTCATTCTGCACTGGCTCTATGAAGTTTATATGGGAATTGCTATAAGAAGTGTACTTTTTGTCCTCATCGTTCTAGTCCTACACCATAATGATTTACGTAAAAATTTGTCCATTGGAGACCCCCCCCCCTCCCTACGTGAAATTTTCCCAGCAACAACTTTGTTGAAAACCACGCTTTAATTGAATGTCTAGAAAATTAGTTATTAATTTATTTCTAAGTTAATAACTTTCTGGTACGATTAATCGGCTGCTTTCAGGGCAACACTGCATCTTGCCCTTATGACATAATAGCCTGGATTTTTTGTTCCAATTATTCCAACGTTGTCTGCTGAGTAGTAAATGGAGCATGTCAGAAGAACATCATCTTCCTAATCAATTAATAACTAATTATCCTAACGTTCAATTCCCACATAAACTTCAAAGGGCCAAGTGCAGTATGAGCTCACATTCTAATGAGATCAAATTTTGTGAGAATGATCAGGAGCTGATTTTAAATCGTTTGAACTTGGTCGAGCAATACATGAACCACGAAAATTCCATGGCCATGGATCGGTAGCAAATAACCCCGCCAGCAATTGATAATCGATGATAATCGTTTAACTCATCTTCCGCTTGAAAAACTTCTATAAAACCACAATCTCTCAACCTTCAAAAACTGAATACCATCTGGTTCAAATCAATCAGCTGTACCAGCAACACTAGAGTGTGACAGGACTACTCGATCAACAGTTCTCCGTTGTTTTCTTTATCACCAACCAGCCACTTTTAGCATGCACGCAGGAGTTAGGTACGCTGCCGATCTCCCTGGAGTTCGCCGAGCTTAGCTCATGAGACACAGCACATGTGACACGGATGAGGCACGTAGGAATAAAAAAGAGACGCGAAATAATTCGTCTCGAAATGTACCAGGCACCTACGATCTGATTGAAAGCGTGTCTCTATCACGCGGGATGGATGCACGTGTACATTAACTCTGGTCGTAGGTATCACGACATTTGGCAGTTTGTTTACGTTGTTATTTTTAGTGTCCGATTTGGTTGGTTTGGATCAGTTTGGTTGTGTGATCACAAGTGACGTGAAAACGGACAATTGCGGTGAAAATATAAGCAGTGAGCCAAAAACTGCCAAGCGTTATCGTTGAACGGGGACCCACAAGTGGTCGAATCTGGAAACCTGGAACCCTTACATTACCGGCATTCTATCACTCAAATTGGAAGTAAATTCTTTAAACCTTAATCGCTCCTCTGTACACTGCCAACCATCAAACTGTCAAACTCACAGATTGTATTCCAATGTGATCATGGCCTACAGAGTTTTCTCGGTCCTTACAGTGTAATCACCATACATAAAGGCTTAAAAAGTCTGTCATAGTCAAAGAAAATAACTGCAAAAATAATGCCTGTCATGCATAAGCGATACAGATTTGGGCTTTTCATAAAAGTGGTAGTCAATTGTTAAATCCACAAAAGCTTCATACATTATTTTACGGAATTCTGCTGATGAAAAATGAATGCACGAAATGAATGTAAATACAATACATGATACGTAGATTGATTTGGTAGATTTCATTCTCAAAGATAGAATTCGATGCGAGTAGATAGATTTAGATGCGTAAAATGAATCATAGATTTTTGTAGACAGATTCAATTGCGCGAGATTTTCGAACACCTCTAGATATAGATGTGTCACCCCTCGGATTTTTTATTGATGTCAATTAACAAAATTAACACAAATTTAAATCATTTGTTGTAAAAACATTATTCTTTTAAACAACTCATTAATTATTAAAAACCATTTAACACAATCAAAGATACAACCGATTGATTTGTTTTTTTTTGCGGTTTATAAAAAGAAATTAATTTTCAAATTCAGCCGCCTTGAATTTTTATTTTTCAGCCAATAGTTTCAACATCCTCCTGACTCTAAGAAGAACCACAGTGGAGTATATTTTACGCCCATTTATAATCAGAAGTCATAAGCTTAGATTACAGAACAATATACTATAATTAGGCTAATCGAGTAGTGAGCCAATTTAAAATCGGTAGTTTCCACCGGTTGATTGTACTATGTTTACAAGACAAGTTTTATCGTTTACATTTCAATATAACAGAAGTGATAGTTCTTGGTCACTGTGAGAATTAGGCCGAACTTAAACGGTTTCAAATGCAGATTTTTCACGAATCAAAGGCTCATCAACGCAAATCAACAGCATCATTTGGTAAAGCAAGTTTTAACTATATGAACCACAATTGAAAATCCATGTAATTCTGCGAGGCATACAGAATAACTTCAAGCTGGGTTTTGTATTATACAAATAGGAATTTAGGAGAAACCCAGGAGACATGCCAGTAAATTCCAAAAAAAGATACATAAGAGCCTTACGATGAACTCCGGTGAATTTCAAAAATAATTTTAGAAATAAATCTCCATTGTGGCTCTGGAGGATTTCCAGAGGGATTGCCAAATATCCCTATCCACAACGAACCAATCAATCGAAGAAGGTGAATATGGCATGATCATTAGCAAATTGCTATTATTCCACTGTCATACGCTATCAATATCACGTGTGATATTTGAGCAAAATATCATGCTTGATATTGATTTTACAAACTCCTTTGATATTGCGAGACTATTCACAACATGTAAAGTTGAAACTGAGAGTTGAATCGACGCAAAAATGATTCCGTTGCATCTCGTTTTCTTAGAAAGAGAAGGTATAATAAAGCTATCTCTTTTTTGTCTTCACCAATGGCAGACACGATGTGACTGCTGCCAGCCGTTATTGAAGTTTCGGTTGCTTTCGGGTGTAAAGCAAAAATCATGCAACTCAATCTCTCCACAGATTTTTGAGATTTGCAGCTGGTGAGTTTTGTTAGCTTGTTGATGCTTGTCTATAGAATCCCAGAAGGGCTAACCAAGAACCTCAAGCACGATTCTGCAGAAAATCAAATGGAATCCTATAGTATTCCAAGTGTCGCTGTCAGTCGAATAGAAACTTCAAATATCTCCTAGAAAGATTTTAAGTAATCCCAAACGAAATTCCATAGAATGCTAAAAGGAGATAAAGAACTAACAACGAATTCCGATGAATTCCACGAGGAATTGAGGAGATAAATCTTGTTTGGAATTTTAGCAAATCCATAGAGAAATTATGGAAAATCTCAGTTTTTGAATTTCCGAAGTACTCTAAGAAGGATTCTAGCAAATTCCCTAAGCATTTCTGAAGAATCAATAAGCAAATCTAGAAAATAACATACAATAGGAGAATCTCACTAAGACATAGATTATAATTAATATCAAGAAAGATTCAGTATATTTAGCAGAAATTTCAGACAATTTCAATTGAAATGGAATAACCTATTAAGCAACATGATTTCAATACAACCCACGTATCAACATTTTAAAAATATGTATGATGTAGCTGTATTAGTTTGACATGATTTATGAAATTGTCGATAATACCAATACCATCAAAGTGGAAAACAAATACAAGTAAACGCTTGATTGATTGCCATTTGAGCCTTAAGCGAATTTCAATATTCATTAGAAGAGAATGGCGCTTGTCAGCGGTAGTTGTATTAATCAGGCCTTTCTTCATTTAATTTGCTTCCTCCAAATGGCTTCAAGCAGCACAGAACGCAACATTCATATCTTCATAACTGAACAAGCCACCGTGTTACAAACGAACTACAATCGCCTTCATAGTTCTGCCGGAAATATAATACATCCTAATACATCCAAGCTTGAGTCTGTACCGTTCCCAAGGTGCTCTCTTTACATACACTACTGTTGTGTAGAACATTTATATTTGCTTGAATCTATACTCTAACTCTTCGAAGACCTTTATAACATGAAGCCATAATCTCTATAGGATGGAGAGAATTCTTCGTTTCTCCAGTAGGTATTCCTTTTAGCTCAATAGAAGCAAGCGATAAATTAAAAAAAAGCACGTTGTCACTTTTTGCTATATGTGCCATGATGGGGGATCAAGAAAACTGACCGATCGAACGTGTGGATAACATGTTCATAACCACCAGTTGAGTATATTAAAGACTACTAACGGCACCTTAATGCACTAAAGGATTGCGCGTGTCGTGCATGTTAACCAGCAGCGATAATGATCGTGAATGGACTGACACTTGAGGACTGCCATTATTCTCGCTCTTAGACAAATCTTACAGCTAGTTTAAAACCAGGCTTAGTTAATCATTCACTCGTGAAGAAAAGGATCTTACAATGTGCTTTGAATGAATGACATTGACATTGATAGCAAAATGACTGATGCACTGTGTCTTCGACAGTTAGGTCAAGACAAACATGATTTATTAATATATAAAATGAGCAAAGTTTGATGTTTAATCATGTAATTTAACTTCAAAACCGTTTGCTTTAGCCCTCAAAATCTATTAGATACATAAGACAAATTGGCTCCTTTAAATTTAGCGACCTATCGGGCAACCACGTCATGCAAATTTGAACCAATTTTAACACGGTCACTTCTCTCACGAAAGCCACGGCCCCGCTCACTTAGATTACTCCATCAAAGGCGACAACCAATGATCAACAAACTCATCCATCAGAGAGAGAGAGAGCTTAGAAATTGCTTGGTCTACAAGTAAAACAAAAGATTTCAACGCTAGTCCCACCAGCGTCAGACGACGAACCTTGAATCTTTGGCAAACGCGCGACACAGTCATCTATTTGCCTGAGGACGACGACAACGACTACGACGCTACATACTTCCATCAGATTGCAAAACATGCCGTGCAGAGTATAAATCAAGCAAATAAATAGTCGCCAATATTAGAGTGTGCGACATATGTGAAAACAACTTACCTTCAGTTTGTTGGAGAACTGACCGGCACTGGCCAGGGCATCGCCAAACGTCGACGGTGCCAGCGCATAGCTCGAGTGGGCCCCAATCAAGAGCAGTGATAATATGAGTAACTTCGTTATTACGAACATTTTTCCGCGTGCATTACTTGGATGCTTTGGATCACTTGTTGGGTTGAGTGCACGCGAGCAAATTCTCAAGATCGGTTCTCTTCAGCAGCACCAGCAGAGCGGTAGCAGTGTAGCAGCAGCGGCAGGATTGACGAGTAGCACTGATGGCGGTGGAAAAAGAAGATGAAGCACTTTGAAAGAATGAATACAAAGGCGCGAAAAAAAAACACTATGATGGAATTTTAACACTTTAATGTTCGGCGGAGCTGCGATCGGATTTCACGGTTTATTACACGCAAAACAAATGGTATGCACATCAAACGTAAGTGTGGATGCTTATGACAAATTTTATGGCACTTCTTACCATGGGCTGTAGCGTACAAGCAAGTTTTCCCAGAATTAATATTTTCGTACAAAACTTTCACGAGATGATTTTATAGCCGTGCACGTTTACCGAACGTTCAGCTATTGAGCTTTTGGTAAAATTTAACAGAAATCTGTGAAATATTCTCAGTGTGTCCTCAGAAATGCTAGATCTAGAGATCTTTGGAGAATTTCAGAGATCTTAAGGGCAGTTCCCGCAACTTTAGTCCAGACTTTTGGAACAGTTTAAAGATCTAAAAGCGTGAGTTTAGGTAAATTCAGGATAGTTCCATGATGAGCTAAAACAAATTCGAGAACCCTTAAGATGTTCCGGGAATTTCAGGGACATACAGATACCTTTAGAGAATGAATGAAAATTTACAGAAGTCCATAGAATTACATTTTCAGTGCAGAACCGAGATCTTCAATAGAACTGAGAGCTTCTCTCAAGCTCCGAAAACATCAAGACAGATAATTTCAATTTCAGAAACCTTAAAGATTTTTCGAGAATTTCAGGGAATTTCTGGAAACATCAGCAAAGCTCCGAGAGAATTTCTGTAACGCAATATAAATTATATAAATTATCCGGAAAAGGTGAGAGTATTTTAAAAGTGTAATATCATGGAAATTCAAAGAAGTTAAAAAAATAGCGAACATTTAGCCATGTTGATCAGAGAACATTAACGAAGTTCCATTAATTAAAAGCAAGTACCATGTGCCCGTTGGTTGTTAACTCCTGAATTTCAGCGACACGGTTCGCCACGAACGTTTGCCAGGTGGATGGACTTCACGATAACCAGTGAAACACGATTGTGGAATCGGTCCACAGAAATATGCTTTCCTTGGTCCCAATTTTGGTGCAGACGGAAAGGAGCAACCGGGCATTGGAGCAGCGCTGCGCATAGTTCCAATCGTGTTATGGATTTGTTGTTTAGTGGAGCGACTCGTGATTTAGCTGCCAAAAGCCGAATGGTGACGTATCCATCCGCTGAGATCGTTCACAGACACGCTCCTTAGGCGTGCTCCGATGAACTCCTGAACCAGTGAATTTCAACAACGGAAGGGCGACGCACAGTGGGACGAAATCAAAAATAGTGGGACATGGCTATTTGCGACGAAACTATTGAGTGTAGCATTTTGATGTTTTCTTGAATGTTTCTTTATTTTTTAAGTACTTTAATTGAGTGAGTAAGCATCAGGCTAGCTTCTAAAACTACGAAGGAACTTCAAGGCAGCTTCATTAACTTCAGGAAAATTTGGGGAACATGCAATTAGTTCTTCAGACCTCAGAATAGTCCATATTCCATATTCAAAGGAGATTTCTCTTGAAAATTCACTTGTAGTTCTCCTCAGAATGCGCTTTGTATTCTCCCGGAACTCTCATTGAATTATGCTAGAAATTCATTTGGAATGCTTCTCTGAATTATCCTAAAAATATCACCATAATATGCTTAAAATATTTCTCGCATTTCCCGGTTGGATGTATAGACCAATTACTGGCCCTCGCAAGATTTTGTTCATATAAACTAATCCGGAATGAAGGAATGGTTAGCCAAGGGATAAAAGTTCAGTCAAAAGATGAGGAAGTATCCTTTCTGACACTATAAACACAGAGCAGAGTGGCCACTAGAGTGGTTCAAATTTCGATTTTCTAAATCACCCAACTAACAATTTTCGCAATGTAAACGGTTTACTCATTTAATTTCTATAGCCTCAAACTGTATTCGAATGTTATACTCAACCTCTATACAAGCAAATCTGGTGTACTTAGTCAGCTACTTATGGCTGTTGTGACAGTTGGGATAAGCTCTTATTGCATATCTATCTACGCTTCTATACAGCTCTACAGCTCTTCTATACAGCTTCTATACAGGGCTACAAAATGGTGAGTTGACAACCTGGAAGGAGCGGAATACCTAGCCCTGGTCCTCACAAGTTCCTACTTCACGCCTCCTCGAGTCATATGATAACAAAAGACTACCAGCTGAAACATGGACACAGCTGGGTGGCGTAGCCTGGGCAATGTTGCCAGTCCGGCAATAGCAAAGTGAAGAGGTGCGACGCGAACACTGGCGCGGTAACCATAGTACGGTGATAGAGGAAATGCTTCACCAAACCCGAGCGTCTGTTCACCATGGAGGTGCGGCTCAAAACGGCGTCTGTTCTCCATGTTAGGAGCGGCTGATCACCGTCCTAGTGCCAGCGTGGGACTCTTAACAGAGCTGTGCACGATGGTCCCCCGCCGAGACAGGGGGTTGGGGCAGGCCCAACAAGCCGCCCTGAAAAAAAACAAAGTTGCAAATACCGAAGAAAGAAATACGGATCGGAACAATCGGCACAGACCTACGCGACGAAATAAGGACTACGATTGGAAACATGGAACTGCAAATCGCTCGGCTTCCCGGGTTACGATAGGTTAATCTATGACGAACTTCAACCACGCAACTTCGAAGTCATAGCACTGCAGGAACTTTGCTGGACGGGACAAAAGGTATGGAAAAGCGGGCATCGAGCGGCTACTTTCTGCCAGAGCTGTGGCATCACCAACGAGCTGGGAACCGGCTTTGTAGTGCTGGGTAAGATGCGCCAACGCGTGATTGGTTGGCAGCTGATCAACGCGAGGATATGCAAGTTGAGGATTAAGGGCCGTTTCTTCAACTACATCAACGTGCACTGCCCACACGAAGGGAGACCCGACGACGAGAAAGAAGCGTTCTATGCGCAGCTGGAGCAGGTGTACGACGGCTGTTCGCAACGGGACGTCAAAATCGTCATCGGTGACATGACCACACAGTTGGGACGGGAGGCAATGTATAGACCGGCAATCGGGTCAAACAGCCTGCATGCCGTATCGAACGACAACGGCCAACGATGCGTGAACTTTGCAGCCTCCCGGGGTATGGTAGTTCGAAGTACCTTTTTCCCCCGCAAGGATATCCACAAAGCCTCCTGGAGATCACCTGACCAACACACAGAAAACCAAATCGATCACGTTCTAATCGACGGGAAATTCTTCTCCGACATTATGAACGTCCGCACGTACCGCAGTGCGAACATAGATTCGGACCACTACCTAGTTGCAGTATACATGAGCTCAAAACTCTCGACGGTGCATAACACACGTCGAAGTCGAACGCCGCGACCCAACATTGAGCAACTACGGGACGCTGGAGTTGCCCAGGACTACGCGCAGCAGCTGGAAGTTGCACTATCCACGGAAGAGCAGCTTGGCGCAGCTTCTCTTGAAGATGGCTGGAGGGACATCCGTTCAGCCATAGGTAGTACTGCTGCAGCGGCACTAGGTACTGCAATCCCGGACCGAAGAAATGACTGGTTTGACGGCGAATGCCAGCTGTTAGTAGAGGAGAAGAATGCAGCACGGGCGAGAATGCTGCAACACCGCACGAGATGGAATGTGGATCGATACAGACAAGCGCGGAACAGACAAAACTCGGTTTTCCGAAGGAAGAAGCGTCAGCAGGAAGACCGAGATCGCGAGGCGATGGAAAATCTGTACCGCGTAAACGACACACGGAAGTTCTACGAGAAGCTAAATAGTTCGCGCAAAGGCTACGTGCCGCAAGCCGATATGTGCAAGGACTTGGACGGTAACCTTCTCACGAAAGAGTGTGAGGTGATTGAGAGGTGGAAGCAGTACTATGACGAGCACCTCAACGGTGAAGCAGCAGAAAACGAAGGTGGCACGGCAACAGACCTTGGAGCACGCGCAGAAGACGACAGGCTACCGGCCCCTGATCTTCAAGAAGTTGAGGAGGAGATCGGTCGGTTGAAGAACAACAAAGCAACTGGTGTAGATCAACTACCAAGTGACCCAAGTAACCACCAAGCCCGCTAACTACCCGATAATCGCCCTTTTTGCGATATAAGGTAAATATAGGGTTTCCGAACTTTATATCAGTCGTATAGCAGCCTTATATACCAAAAAGGGCGATTAACGGGCTTGTTGGTTACTTGGGGAGCTATTAAAATACGGTGGTGAAGCACTGGCTAGAGCGCTGCACTGGGTAATTGCCAAGATTTGGGAGGAGGAGATATTACCGGAGGAGTGGATGGAAGGTGTCGTATGCCCAATCTACAAAAAGGGTGACAAGTTGGATTGCTGCAACTACCGCGCGATCACACTGCTGAGCGCCGCCTACAAGGTACTCTCCCAAATTCTATGCCGCCGTCTGTCACCATATGCAAGAGAGTTCGTGGGGCAATACCAGGCGGGATTCATTGGTGCCCGCGCTACCACGGACCAAATTTTCGCGATTCGGCAGGTTCTGCAGAAATGCCGCGAATACAACGTGCCCACACATCATTTGTTCATCGATTTAAAATCCGCATACGACACAATCGATCGAGATCAGCTATGGCAGATTATGCACGAGTACGGACTTCCGGATAAACTGACGCGATTGGTCAAGGCGACGATGGATCGAGTAATGTGCGTTGTTCGAGTATCGAGGACACTCTCGAGTCCCTTTGAATCTCGAAGGGGGTTACGGCAGGGTGATGGACTTTCGTGTCTGCTGTTCAACATCGCGTTAAAAGGTGTGATCAGAAGAACTGGGATAGACACGAGTGGCACGATATTCAGGAAGTCCATCCAGCTCCTTGGTTTCGCCGATGACATTGACATTATGGCACGGAACTTTGAGATGATGGCGGAAACGTACATCAGACTGAAGGCTGAAGCT